GGAACATTTTCTCTATGTCCGCGGTGTATGCATATTTGTATGACCTCCATTTTAAGATAAGGGCCTGAATATCTTTTTGTAGATTTGGGCCCTTTTCTTGTAGTTGGTTGAGACTGAAGCCACTTGTAGTTTTTTGAGAAGCGTTGAACACGACTCTCAGTTTGGTAGTAGTTGATTGTTCACGTAAAACGCCATGATGCGGTAAGTAATGTTTCAGTAGGTAGTATGTAGGTATCGATGACGACGGCTTCATGTGACCAAGTTCAATGTACTCGTTGATAAAGTCTCGGTACATTTGAGCAAGTTTATGGTTTCTCTCAAATCGTCTCTCCAGTTGTAAGTATTGTAAGAGAGCGATAGATCTTGAGTTTCCCATTTTTTCTTCATAGTTAGATAGAAGTGGCATTTCAACGATGTACTTCCCGTTTGAGTGACGTTGCACGGTGTTTGAGTAGTGTTTTTCACAGAAGTCATCCTTAGACAGGTCATTGTCGTCTTGGACGATCTCTTCGCTCTCCCAGTATTTCGATATTTCGTCGAGATCGATGAGGGTCACGTGACAGTTTAAAGTTTTCAGTTTGCCGCACAGAATCCATCCCAATTGTGTTTGTTGTGCAATCGGTGATTGTTGACTTCCTTTGAGTACTCCATCTAGTAAGATGTCGGAGTACACGTCGGCTCCTAGCAGTAGGTCAATAGGGCGCGACATGTGGAAGTCTGGATCTGCGAGCTTCAAGTTTTCTAAGTGTGGCCATTCATTTGGCTCAAATGAGGAGTTTGGCAAGTTGTTAGTGAGCTTTTTCATTACGAGGGCTTGTACCTCAAACTCGTAACTGGAGTAAATGGACTTGCAAGACAGATTTAGACGTCCTTTGCAGTCTCCAGATCCTACTCCTGTTACGGTTGCGTTCAGTCGCTTCCTAGGCAGACGTAGCAGTTGCGCCGCCCTTTCAGTAATTAAGTTCACTTGCGAGCCTTGATCTAGTAAAGCCCGAAGTTTAATTTGAGTGCCGTTTGCAGACATCACTTGCAGCTGTACAGTCGGCAGTAAGATCTCCACATCTTCCGTCGATAGATGATTGGAAGATGGTTGAGAAGAAGTTGAAGGTCGTGGTTTTGAGGTAGTTTCGTTTGATGTTTTAGTTGTTGGTGAATATTTCTTTGTAGAGTTGTGCAATAAAGTGTGGTGTCGCATGTTGCATTCTTTGCAAGTTTTTGTAGAATTGCATTTGTCGTTGCCGTGCCTGTAAGCAGTTTTCGCACAAATGCAGTTTTGCAACAGTGTTATTGCGTTGAGTGGGGTTCATGTCGATGAACTTTGGACATTGCATCAACACGTGATTCTCGTTACAGTTAGGGCACTTTCCATAAGTAGTGTAATAAGTTTTCTTAGGTTCGTTGTTGTATTTCTTGAATGAATAGTTTCTCTCGCTGGTATTCCACGATGGAATGTTTCTGTTTGAAGTTGAAGTCTTCGTAAAAGTATGCTTCTGATTTTGAGTAACAAAAGCTTCTTTTTTGGTGTTTTTCATGGACTCGTACGCCATGAACTTGCACTCGAGAAAGTATAGAAAGTCGTTTAGGGGCTGCAATTCTCTGTGGTCTTGTAGTTCTTTCATGTATTCCGATTAAGTACTTCTGTCGAGTTTTAGTGACATCAGGTGGACAATCAGTGGGTCCCACGTAGTCGTGTCAATGCCAATGTTTGTGATTCCATTCAAACATTCAGTGATGACGTCGTGCATCTATTTCAAGTTGTAGCTATCAGGATTTTGTATGGTAGGCAAGTTGAGCATGGTGTTGATGAAAGATGTAAACTGAAGGCGTCGGTTTCCATAGCGTTGCGTTAGTATCTCCCAGCATGAGTTGTAGTTGTCGGCACTGATACTGAGATGCTGCACTATGCGCTCTGCCTCGCCTCTCAGTTTAAATTTGAGATGCTGCATCTTCTGAGCGTTGTTTATCATTGGATTGTTGTGAATGGTTTCCATGAAAAGATCTTTAAAGGAAATCCATTGAGTATAGTTGCCAGAAAATTCAGGTATTTCCATTTTCGGCGCTGATGTTTCGTAATGCACAGTCGACCATATTCTTGAGTTTAAAACTCGTCGGATGTCGTCATACTTGTCTTCCATTTCGACAAATATGTTGTAGTATTTGTCGTTGGAGCCCTTGTACTTTCTAATTCTTGGAGCTTCTAATTCCCAATGTAGTTTGTCAATGTCTTGCCACTTAGATTTTAGTATAGAGAGATGGTCTTGAAGCTCCCACTTCTCGGTGATTGTTTTGAGGTCAATTTTGGACATAGCACGATCAAGAGCCTTGAAGTTACACATTTGTTTTTCCAGCAGTGAGTTTGATGATGAAGTTTCATCCGAACTGTCCTCCAGCATTCCTGATAGGTCGAATTCCAGAGACTTGGGCTCAGATAGTTTTTTCAGTAAGCTCTCCATGCTTGTTCTAGTAGTTTCGTAAAGTTGTTTCGTATTTTCGTAGATGTTTTCGGTAAAGTAGTTAATGTTCTTGTCTTCGAACGTTTCCAGTAGTTTTTTATGTCGTGCACTGAAGTCGCTCCACTGTGCCTCGAGAGACTCCAGTCGTTTTTAAGTAAGTATTCTTGGTTTTTTCGGTTTTCGCTGTCTTTCTTGTAGTTAGAGCAGAGAGTTTTGATGTTGTTGAAACACTGTTGTTGTAGTTCCAGCATGATGTTGTTGAAGTAGTTAGTTGATTGTAGTTGTAGAAGTTGGATGAAGTTTCGTAAGTAGTTCGTAGCTTAGTGATCTGGCACGTAGTTGACGGTGGCAGATGAAGCTTGGTGTTGGTTCGTTCCAGGAGGTAGTGTAAGTACGTGATAGGACTCCTCTGCGATATGTGCGCCTTCTCAATTGATCTGGGGATTTCCTCTTCCGGAAGGCCAGTCAACCGAATCGCTACCGCAGATTTATCACTGATCACACACTGTACACTTCACTGGTGAATTTAAACTCGAAGGACCATTAAATGTATGGTTTGTAGGGCCATACATTTATCTAAGTAGAGTTGAAGTTAGTTGAAGTCGAGTTGAAGAGCACGTCGAGAAGAGAAGATCTCCAAAGTTTAAAGTTTATATTGTAGTGAAATACTGACAGAGTTATCGTGGCAAATCTTTTCTTGAGTAGTAGTGTTACGTGGGATGGTTGTTGACGTACTGAGTTATAATAAAGAAAAATACTTAAAATAGTAACTAACGCGCGCCCAAAAAGTAGGACGCAAACGTAAGCGTAAAAGTAAGTGCAATGTACGATGGCTTGCCCGTACAAGGTGGGTAGTTTTAAAACTTACAGTGTAGCTAGACAGTATTTTTATTTCAAAAGAAACTATTAAGAGAATGGTTCTAAACGTAACAAAAATGCTAGCAGATTGTTTTAAATTAAATTGGTTGATTTATTATCATTCAAAACATAAAAGTAACCAGGGACTACGGGTGTCTATAGGCGACGGTAATCACTTACCATCAGGTGATCTGTCTGCTCGTTTGCCTCCTGGCACATCAAAAAAAAGGATCACGACTCAAGAGCTATAAATATCTAACTACCTGAAACCTGAAGCAGCTAGTGTTGCAAACTAAAGTGTATTATTGTTACTCAATACCATTTTGTTTTAGGTAAACATATATCAGGAAAGTCTTTAGAGCGACTGCTACAGACAGACACAGAAAAACTAAAAGGAAATTTAAAAACGGTACCTAATGACCAACTTAACGACGACTTAAACGAACCCTTTACTAAAAAGAAGCGAATACAGACCACCAAGTATAAAGAAAAAGACAAACTGGACATTGATAGACTTAAAAACCCATACACCATAGAAAGATTAACTCATGCAACGAATATAACTGCAATACTGGAATTTTCAAATGTAACAGCTTTTAAATCGAAATTCCAAAGAGCTTATCCGTGCTTTTACTGCGAAAAGTTATTTGAAGATTTTGAAGAACTTAAAAAACATCAGAAATCAGATCACACCAAAGAGAATGTCAGCCAAAGCGTTTTAAAAAAGTACAGAGTGGGCAGACCTGATGGAGTAGTTGTTTATGCTGATATATCTGACCTACAATGCACAATTTGTAGTAAGAGTATACAAAGTCTGAACGATTTAAAGAAACATCTAACAGAAGTTCACGGAAAGAAAATGTATTTGGAATTGTCGGACAGAGTTATTCCTTTCAAAGTGAAAGAGAACAGTTTCCAGTGTCAACTTTGCGGTAATCTTTACGAGACATTTGGAGCGATAGAGCGGCATATGAACACTCACTACAGAAATTACGTTTGCGAAGAATGCGATTCTGGTTTCGTGTCGAAACAGAGATTACGAATACACGGCTATCATATGCATTCGCGTAGAACCAAACAGTACCCGTGTGAGGTTTGCCAAAAGCAGTTCCCTTCTCAGCAAAAGAGGAAGATTCACGTTGAAACGGTTCACGAGAATGTGAAGAAATATAAATGTAATAGATGCCCTGAGAGATTCAATGAATACTTCCGGCGACATAAGCATATGGTGCTGGTACACGGAGTAGCTCCTCTAGAATATAAGTGTAACATTTGCGAAAAATCATTCGAACGTCCCTACGCGCTATCCATTCATATGCGAACGCATATACAGCAAAAGGATATATACTGCGAAATATGCCCTTATAGATGCTTTACTAACGTGGAATTAAGGCATCACATGATAAAACATAACGGAAAAAGAATTCATGAATGTTCTGTTTGCAAAAAATCGTATGCTAGAGAGAAAACGTTAAAGGAACACATGCGAATCCATACAAACGACAGAAGGTACGTGTGTCCTGTCTGTGGGCAAGCATTCATACAAAATTGCAGCTTGAAAAGCCACATTAGAAGTCATCATAAAGATTATGGTTTGACGTGAAATTAAATTACTGCATTAATTGTTGCCTAATAAATTATTTTGTTAAATAATCTTGGTATGTATGTTCATTGTATATTTATATTTCTTAATATTACAGTCACCTTGGGTATTTTATTATGAATATCAGGGTAACTTTCAGCAGTAAAAAATGTATGCACTACAATCTACAATGCCTGAAATTCAAAGAAAGGTACCCAAGATAACCGTTATAACTTTACTGTAACTAATAATTTGATATAGAACCTCCTCCTTTTTTGAAGTCGGATAAAAAATATTTCGTCCCCTTTTCATAGAGGAATTATTTTTGTTTTCTGCCTCGAAAAGCGTTTTGTTTTTCCACCTGCACCTCATCAAAATGACATATTTTCTCCTTTTTTTTTCGATTATGATTTTGCCTAAGTTACTTCACTAGCCACTGGCCAACATGGCGATACTTATTTTAACCAATCGCGTTGAAGTAAGCCAAGCCCAAGTGATACGTGATTGGTGCTTTAGTTAGCTGTCATGGTTTGACACATTTTGTGAGACACGCTCAAAAATATTAAATAAATTTTCAGCTGTTTTCACCAAAATGATTTTTCTAGTTCCAAAAAATGGATTTTTTACAGGAACGCGATAATACAACTGATACAGAGTCTAGTTACGGCCACTGCCGATGTTGTTTAGAAGAAGGCTACCACAGGAACATCACCAAAGCTTATCTAAGCAGTGGTTCTAAAGAAATCTACGCGGATATTTTATTAGATTGTTTCAATGTTTTTGTAAGTTTTCTTAATTTTACTACTAAATCTAAATAATCAGTTGCAAGGTCCAAGGATGGATGTTTATTACTCCTTTAGGTTACTTAAAAACCACTAAACATATTTTGATGAAACTTTATTTAAAAACAGCTTAGCATTTAGTTAATTACTTAGTTTGGGACTTGGGTATAAAATGCGCCGTTTTATGCGTAGAATTTAAATGTAACATGAAGAAGGGTTTTAATTAGACCTGTGTCCACGATTTTGGGGGAGGAAAGAGGGGAGTGTAGCTAAATTACGTTCCGTTCACTCATTGGCGAAAGAAATCAACGAAGTTAAAAAAAGAATTAAATTTATTATTTCGCAACTCTGGCGCCCAATATCATTTGGGGGTGTTTTAGATGACACCCCTTAAACCCCCTACATATCTTCTTCTTTTTCTTCTTCGTCGCTACACTCTTGCCAGAGTGGTCGTGGTCGTCACACCAGGTCCGGTGGCAAGTCTCACAATCCGTCGCCATTCCTCCCGCACTGCAGCCTTTCTTGTGCACTCGTGGAGTGGACCATTGAGTGCGGTTTTGACCTGGCCAGTCCAGCGCATTGCCGACCTGCCGCCCGCTCTTGTGCCCTCAATCTTCCCCTGCACGACAAGTTGTTTAACAGTATCTAGTATCCTCAAATTCAAGCAACTAGATTTGTTATTGATACAACAAGAAGAAGGCAACTTGATCCTAAATCCAACTCTAATCTTTCCTGTTGAAATTCTTCAGCTATCAACACATACCAACCTAAGCACACTAATATGCTCCGACTGCGTGGCCCAGTTGCGGGCAGCGAGGGACTTCAAGGCGTTGGTGTTACGGACGGAGGAGCAACTCATGGAGGAGCTACAGAAATGCGACAACGAGCAGATGGTTCTAGTCAATGGTAATTGTACTTATTATTAGGCGTTGATGATTTTTTTGGTGATGATATTTCTGAGTATACATACTCTCCCAAAATTCAACGATAAGCCGGCTCCATGATGTGCATATTACCTACGTAAAAAAACCTATCTTAATTATTTTTTTCTTATTTTTCTTAAAGTTCAACTAGTAATTTTTCCTAAACCTTAGGAAAAGATAGATAAACATTTTGAAATAGATTTTTTTCTTATTTTTCTCAAAAAAAGTAGTCATGACTATAACCGTCTTCTTCTTCTAATTCGTTACGCTCTTGGCAGAGCGGTCGTGGTCACGTTGAGGCCGCCTGCTTCAGACGCAGAGGTCCCGGATTCGATTCCCAGTGGGGGCAAATTTTTCTGTTTAGTTTGGTTGGTGGTAAGGCTTGTTCTAAGTCCGCCTAGCTAGCTCCATACCTCTCTCTGCAGGCCGTAGTGGCCCGCATGGTGGGGAGTAAGGAGGTATGGCAGGCGATGCTCTCCTTCTGCGAGGCAGTTATCTCGCAGAAGGAAGCGGCGGAGAGGAAGCGAGAGGCTTCGGCTGTCGCCCCTATGATCCGCCGCCGTCGTCCAGGGCGTCGCAGGAGGGTTTACAACCTCCACGCTCCTCCTTAGGAGTCTCGACCGCCGGGTATGGGGATGCCCGGCCGGCGCACAACGAGACCCGTGGCGCCGGCGCACCAGTGTCCAGGGCGCCGTTAGCGGATGACCCGAGGGGAATCACTATTCCCCTCGAAGCTGGAGGGGCTCGCCCAAGAGCGAGCTGTAGCCTGAGACGGAGCCGCGGACGAATGTCCAATAGGACAATAACTCGCGGCTTCGTATCAATGGCCCCGGAGGACACCGTCGGGTTTTAGTGGGTAGGCCCCGCCCTCCCGGCGGGGAGAGTCCCACATAACCCATTGACTGACTGTCCCCATCAGCCAGTGGGCATGCGCAAAGCATTTCCCGACGCAAAAAAAAAAAATCTAGCTACCACCATCTTATCTAAGTCTGTCGCCATAACAACAATGCTGAACACAGCTGCCTGTCCCTGCACAGGCTAAACCAGTGTTTCCTAATAAAAATAAAATCAGTAATTAATACTAATACCTTATTTGCCTATTGAAAACAGTCAAATAAGTTATTTATTCACTTAATTTTATTTATTTTGTTTGTTTTGTTTGCTTTTCCACAATGCACGGTCCTATTTATTTATTCATTTAATTACTTGATTTCAGTGCCCATACCAAAGGAAACGTTAGGGACAACGGTAGGCTTCAAAATTGAAGTCAACGACTTTGGAAACTTCACTGAGACCAAGCAGGATGCTGAGAGTGACGAATGTGCGCAAGAGGTGACAATTACACTAAACGATGATAGCAACTCTGATACGCAGATCAGCTGGAATGATTCAAGTTAGTATACTCAATAGCCCCTTTACTAAGAATCCCCTCCATCTGGCCACTAGTTCTTAGAGTAGGCGCACACCGTTGATATTTCGTCGGCGGATAGTTTAGTCGGGCAGTTGATCAGTATGGGCATGTATGGGAGTGCGCACACTACGCCGATTCGGTTTGGCCGATTCTTCATACAATTTAAAATCGAGCACAACTATCGGCCAACTAAAAATCAACGGTGTGCGCCTACTCTTAGTGACAAATAAAAACCGGCCAAGTGCGTGTCGTGCGCAGTGTAGGGTTCCGTAATTGTCCTTCGTTACTACAATATACTTCAGAAGTATTTTCTTCTAAGAAATTTTTTATTAGGTATGAAATTCTATAATATATGAGTAAAACGACTATTACTCTTAAACTAACTGATCTATCTTAACCGCTATAGTTTTCGAAATATGGTCCAACCAACCAACCAACCAATCCAACGATACTCCACACGATGGGGTAGAAGATGAAAAAAAAAAATCATTCCCACTTTACATGCAGAGGAGCTACCCAAAAAAAAATTTTTTTTTTCAAAATTTTATTCTACCGTTTTGTCGGCGTGATTAATATACATACCTCCACAAAATTACAACTCTCTAGTGCCAATAGTTTCCAAACAAAACCTCGGACGGACAGACAGACGGACATAACGAAACTATAAGAGTTGCTTGTCAGGACTACGGAACCCTAAAAATTATGAAAATAAAGGTTAAATAACATTAACTTATTTTGTCCTCAGATAAGCCACCCAAGCAGACCCAACTCCACATAGATCCTAAAGAACGGCTCAAAAGAGCCCTAATCGTGAACACCTACAATTTACTACAATTCTCTAACGCCACACTTTTCAGAAGCAAAATGCGTTCCGCTGGTTTCCCCTGTTTCTACTGCAGAGAGTCATTTGAAGAATTTGACCATCTGAGGCAACACCAAACCGAACTGCATCCAAAAGTTTCGCTTTTAAGAACTCTGAAATTATACACTGCAGAAACTTTAGTTGTATATGCAGACGTTCAAGACTTAAAATGCACTGTCTGCGATATTACGATACCGAGTCTTAAAGAATTCAAAGAGCATCTCATAGAAATACACAAGAATAAGTTTTATTCTAATGTCACGGATCGAGTTGTGCCATTCAAAGTGCTCGAGAATTACTTTGAATGTCAAATCTGTGCGTTCAACTTTGAGACGTTTGGTTCGATAGAAAAACACATGAACACACACTACAGAAACTATGTGTGCAATTTCTGCGGTGCAGGTTTTATAACCACCATGCGATTGAAAAAACATATGGATACTCGACACAGAGACGGGACTTTTCCATGCGACAGTTGCAAAAAGGTGTTCAGAACGCAGCAAAAATTGAGGTACCACGTTGATTTTGTTCATAAAATGCTCAAAAAGGTTAAATGTTCTAAGTGCACAGAGCGGTTTTCAGATTATTTTTTACGGAAGAAACATATGGTGAAAGTTCACGGAGAGAAACCAGTGGTTTACCGTTGTAATGTGTGCAATAAAGGGTATCAGAGACGGTATACTCTCGCCTGTCATATGAAGAGGCACATGGAGCTGAAAGACGTCAAATGTGACATTTGTACATATTCATGTTACAACAAGACTGAGTTGAGGGAGCACATGTTGAAACACTACAAATCGAACATAGAACGGTCATACGTATGCTCCATCTGTAGCAAGAATTATTCGAGAAGGAAGTCGTTGAAAATACACATGAAAAGTCATATGGACGTTATGTGAGAGCACTACAGGTTTAATTATTTAAATAGCTGATGATATGGTGACATAGCCCGATGGATTAGCAAGCTGAAGTGGCAATGGGCAGGGCACATAGTACGCAGAACTGACAGCCGATGGGGCAGCAAGGTTCAGCAGTGGACATCCTATGGTTGAAATGATGATGATGATATGCATGATGGAGCGTGCTATGCTATACTTGGCGTTCCCTACGTGATTGAATCAGAAATAAGGGGATCTGAAGGAAAACCAAAGAACCGACATAGCCAGCAGAATTGCTAAAGCCCGGTCTGTGAGCACGTAGATGTCCAATGACCCCAAGCTACCCATCCTTATCTCTCGCGCGTAATTATGTTGCTATCGCGCTCGCACACTCACTGCGGGTGCCAGTCGCAGACTATAGTTTAAGTGGCAGTGGGCGGGGCATACATAGCTCGTAAACTGATGTCCGTTGGGGCAGAAAACTTCTCAAGTGCCGGCTACGGGCCGGAAGACAGAGTGTGAACAGCATTGCTACTCGTTACACCGACGATCTGGTAATGGCCGTGCCTGGATGCAGGCAGCGTAGGGCCGGTCGTTGAGGAAACCCTTGGGAACCTTTGTCCAGCAGTAGACTTCCTTTGGTTTAAACGATCTGATATCTGCGAGCGAAAGTGCCGGAAAAAGATTTGGTTCCAACGAGACACAATTTCAACGGGACACATTTTCAATCAGACACATTCCCACGTGGACACATCAATTATTGTATCATCAGTTAACCCTTATTCAAATAAAGATAGATATATTACCACTTCGTTTACTTTTAAAAAAGGATCCTAATTTTCGATATGGTGATACTTAAAGATATCGTGGTCACTTATTTATATTTTTAAATATATTTTTTTACTTATCTATGCCAACTTTCAACTTTTCAACGTCATTTGTCACTGTCAGGTAATGTCAAAGTCAACCAAACGGTTTTGGTGTGAAAAATTTCAAGTTTTTAGCGCGCGTTTTTGGTATTTTTGAAACTTTGTTCAACGAAAATTCTGATAAGTGTTTTTTCGATTCAAAATCCTAAACTATAACATTTATTGTATAGTCTCACTTATAGGCAGCGTCTGCAATTGATTTATTCATATAGTTTAGACATTTATATATTAAATAGTTTACCACTGTCCGATCCCGTCTTGACAAAAGTTTGATGATATACAGGGTGTTAGGTAAATGGGTATATGAGCCGACACTAGCCCATGTTAACATGACCATATAAATGGTATAGTGAAATCAGAAATTTGATATCACAAACATACAAAATAAATTTTATAAAATGCGATTTGTATGAAAATTAAAATAATTAAAATGAAGATATCAAATTTCTGATTTCACTATACCATTTATATGGTCATGTTAACATGGGCTAGTGTCGGCTCATATACCCATTTACCTAACACCCTGTATAAAAATAACTGTTGTTTTTTGTATGTGCACAAATTAAANACACATGCGGATCCATACAAACGACAGAAGGTACGTGTGTCCTGTCTGTGGGCAAGCATTCATACAAAATTGCAGCTTGAAAAGCCACATTAGAAGTCATCATAAAGATTATGGTTTGACATGAAATTAAATTACTGCATTAATATAATTGTTGCCTAATAAATTATTTTGTTAAATAATCTTGGTATGTATATTCATTGTATATTTATATTTCTTAATATTACAGTCACCTTGGGTATTTTATTATGAATGTGGGAGTCTGAAACGGAACGCAAGGGAGTGAGTGAGACGGAATGAATGAGGGAGGAAGTAAGAACGACGGGATTTTAAAACAGAAGACGAATAGTATTAAGACGGTTCTAAGACGTTCCTATTTTTTGTGGTTTATCCTGGAGTAAATACAAATACAGCTGATGAAATACAACCTGGGTTTCAATTCCTACATGAATATCAGGGTAACTTTCAGCAGTAAAAAATTTATGCACTACAATCTACAATGCCTGAAATTCAAAGATAGGTACCCAAGATAACTGTTATAACTTTACTGTAACTAATAATTTGATATGGAACCTCCTCCTTTTTTGAAGTCGGATAAAAAATATTTCGTCCCCTCTTCATAGAGGAATTATTTTTGTTTTCTGCCGCGAAAAGCGTTTTGTTTTTCCACCTCGTCAAAATGACATATTTTCTCCTTTTTTTTTCGATTATGATTTTGCCTAAGTTACTTCACTAGCCACTGGCCAACATGGCGATACTTATTTTAACCAATCGCGTTGAAGTAAGCCAAGCCCAAGTGATACGTGATTGGTGCTTTGGTTAGCTGTCATGGATTGACACATTTTGTTGCATTTTGTGAGACACGCTCAAAAATATTAGAGAAATTTTCAGCTGTTTTTACCAAAAATTATTTTCTAGTTCCAAAAAATGGATTTTTTACAGGAACGCGATAATACAACTGATACAGAGTCTAGTTACGGCCACTGCCGATGTTGTTTAGAAGAAGGCTACCACAAGAACATCACCAAAGCTTATCTAAGCAGTGGTGTTAAAGAAATCTACGCGGATATTTTATTAGATTGTTTCAATGTTTTTGTAAGTTTTCTTAATTTTACTACTAAATCTAAATAATAAGTTTGCTATATCTAAGGATGTATGTTTATTACTCCTTTAGGTTACTTAAAAACCACTAAACATATTTTGATGTATTTGAAAACAGCTTAGCATTTAGTTAAATTAGTTTGGGTATTAAACATAAAGAAGGGTTTCAATTAGATTTGTGTCCACGATTTCGGGGAAAGAACGAGGGGGAGTGTAGCTAAATTATGTTCCGTCCACTCATTTGCAAAAGTAATCAACAAACTTAAAAAATTAATTAAAATTATTATTTCGCAACTCCGGCGTAGGGTTTCTGATTTCTCGACTTATTTTTTTTCTCGAGTTTCGGGAATTCTCGAGGCCAAAGTCTCGAGTTTTCTCGGGTCTCGAGTCTTTTAATTAAAACTGTTGAAATCGGTTGAAATTTAATAAAAACACGGGTTTTTATTAATGTTATAATGTGTCTGGGTTATAATCAAATTCAAATTCAAATTCAAATTCAAAATTCAAAATTTCTTTATTTTCTTATAAGACACATTTACAGGGGTTGGGTGTCTCCTTTTAAGTTTAGAAAACCTGTATTAGGAGACGCCCGCTCTTTCGATCAGTTTTATATAATAAGAAAATAAATAAAATTACATGATTTTTTACTTACAAATTAATTCGTACCAAAAAGTTGTGTGAGTATGAGATATTGTGTGTGTGGGTTTGTGTGAATGTGTGCATGCGTTAGTTGTTTCTTGTGTTTGCTTGTTCCCTAATTGTGATTTATCTGTATAAGTACCTACAAACTGAACGGCTATTTCTGCGGCGAGGAGGTAGCGACCGCTTTACCGCGAAAGTAGCTGTTCAGTCTGATCATAATCAAGTTCCTTTAACCAATTTATTAAAGTCTGTTTACACTCATTAGAAGACATTGTATAAATATGTTTTAGTCTGTTTACTTTATTATATATAAATATGGATTGTACCAAGAATTGCTGTCTAGCAAATAGTGTTCTAGCTGGAGGTTGTTTTATAACAGAGTATGGATTTCGCTTTTTGAGAATATCTGGGTCTATATTATAGCTCTTGTGAACTTTGAGAACAGATTGTAGAATAAATAATTGTCTGACTGTTAGAACATTTGCATCCCTATTAGGGTTTCTGATTTCTCGACCTATTTTTTTTCTCGAGTTTCGGGAATTCTCGAGGTCAAAGTCTCGAGTTTTCTCGGGTCTCGAGTCTTTTGATTAAAATTGTTGAAATCGGTTGAAATTTGATTAAAACACAGGTTTTTTAAAATCTAATATACAAAAAAACTAAAACCCAACTACATAAAAATGAACTGAAAAGATACGAACAAGACAAAGTGTTCACAAATGCAGTCGGAGACATCAATGACTATTTTTTTTGTTGGTGATAAGTTAAGTAGTTGGTGATAAGCCGTGTGGTGACGGCAGAATAGAATACATTTGTCACCAACCCCTACTCTTCCCGCGGAGGAGGCTCATAGTCCAGCAGTGGACTGTAAAAGGCTGTTGATGATGATGATGATAAATGTTTGATGCCTCCAACTGNAATAAGGGTTAAATGTTTTAATGAAAAAAAAATATATTATTTATTATATGTATGTATAGATGTTAGAGCAAGTGTAAAAATATAAACTGTAAATATGTAAAAAATATGGTTTCACATAAATAAAACAAGTTGGAAACTTTTGGCATTTATTAATTCAAAAGTTAACTATCAACATAAGGGTCACACTTCCATGTAATTAATCTAAGGCCGGGTAGACGAGTGTAACGTGTAATGGAATGTATCGTGTAATGTAATGGAAATAGAATGGGCAGCACTTTAAATGTAATGCTCGTAGTGCCGTCCACACGTAGAATTCATGTTACATAACACATTACACCCGTCTGATCCCGGCTTAAAAATACTTGTAGAACGAACAAACAAAACTCATTTGTGTTTCTCAAAATTTACAATATAACTTTTACAATTAATTTAGGAAAATTTCTATTCTGCGATTTCATTTCTTACAACTTTTTTCATCTAACTTAGGCCACGCAACGCCGATAGGGTAAAATATTATAGTAGATGACGTCAACAAATTATAAACACCAAGGAGTCCCTTAAATTAAAAAAAAAGAAAAATAATGATAGCTTAGTTATTTTGACCCCAGTCAAGACGCGAGGCGCGGATTGGCAAATAACAATGACATAATTATATTATTTTTAACAACTGCTTGAAACTAAGCTTATCTTACAAAAGATTTCATTCATTTATTATAAACTAATCATACACAAACACACCCTATTTTCTAATTACAATAAAATTAATACAACGTTAAACCAATTTACATTTTAAATGTCCTGCATTTTGAGGCGACTTTTTATACCCCTATTAGACTAAGAGTTATTAGTGAACGCCAGACCTACGTTATAAAAGCTGAAAGTTTGTCAGCGTATGGTCCCAATATAGGTTAGAATGTTGGTGCATCATGAAAAGAGATGTAAATTTACGGAATCTGACCGGTCACGATGGTCAAAAACCATAAATGACCGGTCAAAGTGACTCAAATATTACTGTAGTCCAAGTCCCAAAGTCCCAACAAATAATTTATGGTGCTTGACTCTTGAGACAAGCTAAATTACACCATATTGTTTATGACATTGAGCATACATTTTTTTAAATACCTTCGCGAAGTAAAACTTCTGTACAAGGTACTTATTATTATTCTGTGCCTATATTGGGAGCATTATAAAGTGACGTAGGTCTGGCGTTCACTAGCTCTAAGTCTATAATATGGTGTCTGTCTTGCCGAAGCTCAGTAGTGGCGATCGCAGATGTCGCTGGATTTTATAGTGATTTTCACTTAATGATTCCATTCATTTAACATCTTCGATATTAACCAATTATCAAAATACATTATTAATGATTGTCTTTTATAAATAGGTAATTGCAATTTTCATTCAGACGGATTTTTAATCAATCTAATTTTATTGAGCATAAATTATGAATTTATGCTCAAACAAACACATTTAACTATCATGTACAGACAGAACCCAAACTCATTTGATTTTATGGAACAGTAACATTTTTTTCGATTTTCATAAACCCTCTGTAGTGTGAGACTGTTTGATTCGTTTTTTTTCGAATTATTCAAAAATATATTCACCAATTTTTGGTCGGGGAGTCATTATTGTAGTGTGCGTGTGCACTCATGGATGATTTAGCGTGTACCGATAACACTCAAACATTGGCGGAAGAATGGTGTCCGCGTCTTCGTGGATGAAACGATCTATACACGTCCTAGAATCCAATGCACCTTAGTTACTAAATTATAAGTAAATTAAACTAGAAAATCTAGAAATTCATTAAGGTCGTAACAAAATGTACATTTTGTACCACACGTAACTTCAAGTGTGAAAAGGTCCACAGTAAAAGTACAAGCTTTGCTTGGTTTGGTACTAGATGGCGCTGTATGAAATGTAACTCACACTATTAAAATTAGCTTTGGCTCACTACAACGCTATCTTCGTCCACGTACATTATCTCAGCGGCGTGCTTTTTCATATGCTTCTTCAGCTCTGTAAAAGTGACGTAATTCTTCTCGCAAAACATGCACACATGCTTGCCTTTCCCCGTGTGCCTTTGCACGTGCATTTTCAATTCGTGTCCGCTAAGAAAACATTTGTTACAATAATTGCACTTATAATTCTTCACTTTGTGGTGAACTTTCCTCAAATGGGCCATGTAGTATGGCTTCCAATCGTAAGTCTTCCCACAGAATTCGCAGGTCGACATCCGCACCCTCTCCTTGTGTTTCTCGACTATGTGCAAATGCCTTTCGTACTCAGAATGGTACGCTTCGCCACAATCCGCGCATTTGAACAACTTAGCTTCTTTATGCACCATCGCTTCGTGTTTTTTCTTGTACTTCTCCAAAGAGAACGTCTTCCCGCAATGCCCGCACGAAAACTTGCCCGTGTTGTGTATCATAATATGGTGTTTTAATCTATTTTCAGTGACAAAAGTGTCTCCACATTCCGAGCAAACATAATTGCAGTAGTGAGCGTTCATATGAGAGTCCAAATTGGCTACATTCGGGAAATCTTCGTTGCACAGCGCGCAGTAAACTATATTATGAGCGCTCAGCTTGTACGGAATCAATTTGTCATAAACCTGGTCTAGTTCAATATCGTGCAAATCCTTCAGATGCACGAACATATCGTTCCACGTCGGTATGCGGGTTTGGCAGACCGTGCAGTTGAACATTTCGATGTCTACGCGTAACATTTCGTTGAGGAACGGCGGCCTCATGATTTGGTCGAGTCTGTCAAGTCTTTCTTTCAGTCCGTGGCTGGCTGTATGGACTCTGAGTTCGCTGGGGTCCTCGAAGCTCTCACTGGCAGTGTAGCAGAACGCACAGAAGTACCTGGCGGATTTTACCTTGAAAGGAACAGCGTCGGTGAGGGACAGCACCTTCGTGATTTCTTGCACGAATTGGTAGTGTCGCTCGTTGTTCATATGCGTTGCGATCTCTTTAGGCGTTTCTGGAAAGAAAGGATTGAAAATAAATGACGGTAGTTTTCGCGATTGAAAAATCCGCCAGATGGCAATACGTAGACGCGAGGTCCAAATGCTGCATGATTGGTTATTATGTCAAAAATAATAAAAAACATTTGGACCTCGCGTCTACGTATTGCCATCTGGCGGATTTTTCAATCGCGAAAACCCTCATTGGTTTACGTTAAAAAAATTGCCAAAAGATTTTAAGAGCGTTGTAGCAAAAAGTTGGCGTTCGAATTTTAGGTTTTTATTGCTTGACGTCTCGTAGTGAGTGCGCAAACTGCATTTATCTGTACAATGAGGATCAGTACTGTTGTAGAAAATTCAATAAAACTAGTATCTACGTTAATCTTTAAGACATAAGAAAGATATATCTTTTTGAATTATCCAAATCGGACCATTACTTACGAAGATATTAAGTAATAAACATAGGCCGTTTTTGCCGCTAAAAGTCAACGTACGCAAGGCCGCGTGACGTCATTATATCCGAATCGAGCGCAGCCGGCGTACTAATGGGATGGAAAATATTTTTTTCCGGCTAAACTATCAGTTTTAGAAAAAAACTTTTAATAACATTTATTCTTCAAAATAAAGTAACCTATCGACCAGTAATTTTTAAAAATAAAAATTGTGAAAAATAAGTATTGCTATGTCCAAAAACCACATTTTCATAGGATTCGATGCAATGCGGAGACGCGGTTGGGGTGAGTGTAACTTAATGATTGTTTGTATTGAACATAATAATACATAATATGATGCTAATACCCAGTTTCTGGCCTGGGGGGGGCATCAAAGAGCTCGTAACTAAACATCGTAAGCGCCATTCAAATTATTATCTATAAGTTAATAATAAATATTTAGTTTTTGTAAATCTAAACAAGTCAGGAAATTAAAGAGGTAAATACTGATATCATTGTGATTTTATAGAATTTATTATTATAAACCACGGTCGTATAATGCTAAAAAATCAGAGGTAACTTTAAGATTTTTATCCATAGAGCAAAATTTATCTAATCGTGGTTTTAAACAGTTATCCCATTAGGTACACATGCGTTCTGTAATACAAACCCATCAAAAACAATACTAAAGTTGTCAAAAAACCAAGTCTCACTACTCAGTTGTTCTACGGTAAAAAGTTGTGAGATATGAGAGTCCAGGAAATCATTAACATTTTACATAAATATATTGACTTGGCCATCGCATGAAAACACGTGTAAATTAAATTATTTAGTGCGAAATGAAACTAAATTTTGCATGCCTGTGCAGACATGCAAAATTTCAGCTCAATGGGAAAACGGGAAGTAAGTAAATTTTAAGTTGCAAGATTTTACAACTCCAGATGTCAAAGAGAATAAAAGCTTGTAGATAGCTTTACAAAGAAAAGAAAGATTTATGAAGAAAATAAAAAGTACTGTCTACGATACATTTGTTGGGCCGTGTAACCGTGTTGCACCGTCTTACTTTAACATTGACATCAAAATTTTGGATGTCAAAAATCGTATAACATAAAACACCGGTTATTGTCAGTTAGGGTCAAGGTTGGGTGGTGCATCTCAGCCTTGGTGTATTTTAATTAAATTCAATACAAATAAGGATGACGAAAATAATCGATAAGTGATCTCACTCGAATATTTCTTATAGTAGGTATGCAAGATGTCGAACAAATGGTTACTTACTGAAACAGTGCTTCATGAGACCTAGCAAACGGCATCAGTAATATGTTTGGGAACGAACTGAATCTATTCAAGGAACCTATATTTCCAGCTTTCATACATTTAATACAGTTACAAACAAACACGAAATCAATGGTTTCTGAGAATTCTGAGTGCCTTAATGCCGTCTCCTTTATCTGTTTATTTAGTATTTATTAATTAGTATCTCTTGATGATATTGTAGCAAGTTAAACCTAAAATCATGTTTTCCGTAAATAATTTAAATAAGAATGCAATTTACGAGTTTGTTATTTGATTATTATATATTACTCAATTAAACATTTAAATTTAAAAAATTAACACTTCTAATATGGTAGGTATGGCTGGCGGCATACATTTAGTATGAAATTCGGAAACATTGAATTTTTGCATGGATCCAGTTTATTATTTAACCTATTTATTGTTATTGTTTTAAAGAGCTTATGAAGCACTTACAGGAGCAGTAGACAGTTTCTCGATATCTTGTATAATTAAAAATCAAGTGAAATCACTTATCGTTTCCACCCAACCTATACTTTTAAAAATAAACTCATTTTATACGTTCATTTGTATATAAGTATCTTACAAATACCTAACCAACAATACAAATACCTAACCAACTTAGTTGACGTTTTATAAAACTAGGAAGTTTGTAAAAAGTCACTAATTAATACTTTGATTTGCTCGTTTAAACACAGTGAATGATTCAAATAGGTACATACAGTGAATGGTTCAATTACATAAAATATCTTTATTTATTAAATTTTCAATATTATTTACGAACAGCGCTATTCATAGTAGGTACATGTAATATTTAGTTACTAATTTACTAATGATGTCAACAGATGGCGTTTGACAGCTTTGCCTTCATGAATATTTACGTACCTCAAAAATGTTTGTCAGGCGCAAGATGATTTTAACCAATGACGATAGATGGCGCTTTTCCACGTCTTATGAAAATCCCAAATACTTTACGGGACCCTATTTTTTTTCAAAATAAAATGTAGCCTATGTTACTCGTGAGTTATGTAGCTTTCGAATGGTGAAAGAATTTTTAAAATCGGTCCAGTAGTTTTTGAGCCTATCCATTATAACTAAACAAACAAACAAACAAAGTTTTCCTCTTTATAATATTAGTGTAGATGTCGATAGATGGCGTTTGACAGCTTTGCCTTCATGAATATTTACGTACCCCAAAAATGTTTGTCAGGCGCAAGATGATTTTAACCAATGACGATAGATGGCGCTTTTCCACGTCTTATGAAAATCCCAAATATTTTACGGGACCCTATTTTTTTCCAAAATAAAATGTAGCCTATGTTACTCGTGAGTTATGTAGCTTTCGAATGGTGAAAGAATTTTTAAAATCGGTCCAGTAGTTTTTGAGCCTATCCATTACAACTAAACAAACAAACAAAGTTTTCCTCTTTATAATATTAGTGTAGATATTTGTCTAAGTGTCATCGAGCGACCGCTGGTGGATTTGCCATTTACCTGACCTACCCCTTTATTATTAAACGTTTAGTATCAGATGAATAGTTACGCACCTAGGGTTGCCAGGTCCAAAATCAAAAAAGCCGGACTCTGTGCTTCATTTGGCCGGACATTTTACCCTAAAAGCCGGACATGTGACGGGGGGGGGGGGGTGCAATTAGTGTCATTAGTACTGTCATCGTATCATCGGTTGCCCAACATAACATCCTGATGCGTGCGCTTCATATTACTCTGTGGCTCACCTTTCGCCTGGCTCAGCAGGCCAAATAAAAAGCCTAACAAAAGCCGGACAGGCCGGACAAGACAATATTTGGCCAGACAGGACCGTAAAAAGCCAAACATGTCCGGCTAAAGCCGGACGCCTGGCAACCCTATACGCACCAATTTCTTTTATTCAGTCGTCAGTAATTGAACTTTCGGAAAAACATGACGAAGCGTTGTGTGACCATGCAGACGCTATTCAACTTTTATTAGTAAGGAAGAGTATATTTTATGTTGGTAGAAACACAATAGCATAGACTAGTGTTTTCACACCCTGTTAAAAAAATTATTAGTCATTAATTTTTTCCTGACCAAACAGATACCATAATAATATCTTTTATCTATTCTACCCATATTCTGTAAGTAAAATAATAAAAAGTTTGAAAAGAAAGAAATTACAAGTCCGATTTACCTAAACAAATAAATTAAAAATACTTGCGGATCAAAAGTACTCAATCATACTACAATTTACGAAAAAATCACGCGTGACGCATATACGTCAGTGGGCAGTCAACTGACATAGACCCGGCGTCTACGAGTGCCAAAGCACGACTGATTTATGCCATTTGATGCACCCGATTTTATAGTATTTTCAAATTAATTTTTCATTTGAAGATTGAAGATAGATATTTTTTCTTTTTCACACAATAATAGTACTATGTTTCTTCTTAAGTATAAAGTAGTTTATGTTGCCAAATGACTTTTAGATTATGAGATGTGACCTGTTTTCTTGCAGTAATTTTCTCGAATTTTGACTATCTTAGACATGATAAAAATGCATTTTAATGAATTAAACATCAAAATTTTCTCAATACACTTTCTTCTTCAGGGTATGCTTATTCTAATGAATACATTCTATCTTCTTACTTAGAAATAAATTTGTTGTAATATTAGTTCAAAGTTGTGCCTTCGCGAGTTACCTGGAAATCGGGCTTTCGAAATTCGCTGTTTTCGTAGGCAAAAATCCAATTTGAACGAGATTTTGTCAATAGACATTCCGTAAAAACGTATGATAATTACGATGATATAAGTCAAAAGAAGCTATAACAATAAATTATATGACTAAAATCATTTCGAAATCTGCCAAATTCTCGATTTCTGCATGAAAAATGTGACAACGCTCTTAATGCGTTTAATTACCTTGCGATAGATTATGGACCACAATACCTATTTGTTATATGACGTTCAGCCTTAGGAAATAAATTCCTTAATAATTTAACTCAACTGGAGCATTATTTTGGCTGTTATAAAAATTTAATAAAATCAAGAATACAAATAACCACTATTTATTATTTAATTTAGGTACATAATATTTCAACGCTTACTCTCTACAAATACAATAATCTTATTGTACTTAACAACAATACATCTTTTACTAATCTTACTAATATTATAAATGCGAAAGTTTAAATGTCTGGATGTTTATTACTCTTTCACGCAGAAAGTGCTGAACGGATTTTGTTGAAACTTTATTACTTACTTACTTATTTTTGTAACCCAGATTAACATATATGCTATAATTTATGCCGATCTGTGAC